CTTCCTGGAGGAGGTGGCTGCGGGGACCGCTCTAAATCCATCCAGTCCTGTGCAGGAGTCTGAGGAGCAGAGGTGCTCTCAGAGGCTGTGGACAAGGCCTGCCTCAGTCCCAAGCTCCTGACTTGAGGGAAAGAGGAATGTCCCCTGCCTCGCTGGGAGTGTTGCAGGGGTATCTCCTCTGAGGGCAGTAGCCCTGCCTCTCTTCCTGACAATGAGGCCCACGTGAAAGGATGGTGCTGGCGTGCACACAGCCCAAAACTGGGCATGTACAATCTGAGAGTCCTAGCATACCAATGTGGGCCTGAGGGTACTTGCCTAACAGCATGTACATGGGTGTGGTGGGAGAACCCTTGCCCAACCCCAGCCCTGTCAATGGCAGGAAGTCCTGCCTCCCAGAATTCCTGTCCTTTGCCTAGGAGACTGGGACCTCAGTCTCTCTACCTGTACTGCTGGAGCCAACAGAGGCATGGTGGTTACAGGGCCCATTGCCCAAGCAGCACCAGATGAGAGGACACAGGTCAAAATTAACTCTAGGAGTCTAAGAGGTCAGTCTCTGACCAAAGGCCTATCTTAGTCAGGGGTCCCCCAAGTCCAGGATGGAAACTCTGGTTTCATGGATGAGATAGTGGGGACATTCGTACTTCAGTTAGAGCCTGAGCTATGAGGCAGAAATACTGCCACAACTCTTGGACCCTGACATGTACAATGGTGCCAAATTTAGTAGCTGAGGGCAGTCACAAGATGCTTCATTTAGGGACTGGTTAATAGCTTTTCTCCCTCCTCATATGACCCCAGGATCCTTAGGCATAGAAGGGTCTAGGCACCCCTAAAGGGAAACACTCACCCCCGCCCTCCCTAGGCCTCAGCTGGCACCTCTGAGCTTCCTAAGGCCTCAGCACTCATGGTAAGGCCCTCAGTGCCTTCAAGCATAGCCAAAGTGTGCAACAGTAAATGCAAACTCCTGCTCCTTTGGGGTCAGTGCTTCTAACTCTTCATTCTGTTAGAAAGAGGAGAATGGTGGGGTCCCAAGGGCCAGGATCTCCTAGTACAATCAGGAAGTCCCACCTTGGTATGCCCAGTCTC